AAGAAGTCATCACAAAGAACAGTTCTAAATCTGTATGCATTTATATTCAAAACATATAAAACAAAATTTGACAGATAACAAAAAGAAAATTTAAATACAAAATGATAATGGGTGATTTTAATATAACTTTATCCCAAATAGATATATTTAGCAGACAAAACAAAAGGATATAGAAAATTTGAAGACAATTAACAAGCGATCTGGTACATTTTTTCCAAGTTGCAGCAATCTACTAATGGACTATCAATCAAACTTATAACCACATTAAAAAAAATTAAACTGAATAGAATTGAAAGTATCAGAATGTATCCCATGTGGCAAAGATAAGCATTATTTTGTAAAACCTTTATATTTATATATTGAGTGATGATATAAAGTGTACTTCTTGCCATGGGTTAAAGTTTGAAAATCTTCAATCCAATGGATTTAAATTAAAGTCTTCACCCCCAAATTGGAGCATACACATTATTCTCAAGCACTCAAGAAATATTTACAAAATCTAACCATTTACTAGGCACAAAAGAAGTCACAACTAAACCCAGAGAATCAATACCATATCCCGAATGGCATTGAAAGATGTCCCACAAGAGCTATCTGACTGCTAGTTGGTCCCCTGAGGCTCCATTCAACAATCCTGGAGGTGGGTGGGTGAAATGGATGAAGGGGGTCAAAAGGCACAAACTTCCACATATAAAACAAATAGGTCATGAGGATGTAATGTACAGCATGGTGATTATAGTTCATAATACTGCATCGTATATTTGAAAATTGCTGAGAGAGTAGATCTTAAAAGCTCCCACAAGAAAAACAAAAATTTTGTAACTATGTATGGTGATTAATATACTAGACTTATTACAGTGATCATTTTGCAATATATATATATATATAGAGAGAGAGAGAGAGAGAGAGCAAATCATTATTTTATACACCTGAAACTAATCTAATGTTTAATGTAAATTTTACTTCAATAAAGAAAACAAAACCTCAATCCTACTTTCCTGGAGTGACCTAGAACATGTCTCTGTCCCTTGTAAGTGCCAACTAACTTAGCTATTTATTATTTGTGTCTAGCATGTAATAAGTACTCAAAAATTTTTGATAGAAAGTAATACTGCAGAATAGAAGCACTTTGGCAATCTTTGGGAAGTTGAAACTGAGCTAAGGTTAACCGTTTTCAACCTTTTGAGATATTCCACCATGGATAGAGTTAAGTACTAGAAGAAATATACCCCCTCTCCTCAAAAAAAGACAAAAAATTTTTGAGCTCGCACAAGTGGAGGAGTGTATGAGTGTTTGGGTGCATGGACCATAGCGTGAACAGGCACAGGAAGCAAGCAAGCAAGCTAGCTAACCAGAAGGGACAATTCTAGATGGGTTAATATTGCCAGCCTTCTTTAATTGTCTCATCTGTCAAAGGAGAAAGTGACTTTTCCAAGACACTCTTCTATTAGCTCAAAGAGGACAGAGGACATAGTCTCTTCTCACCTTTCTCAACTGCCTTTTATTTCACTCCAGGGTTTACAGCCATGGGGTGGGAAACCCAGCTGGGGCACAGAGATGGGCCAGGTAGGAAAGGTCCTCTGTGTCATGCTAAAGAGTTAGACAATTGGGAACTGAGGTAAGTTTGCTTGTTGAAGCAGAGAGTAACAGTCAGATTCAGGGGGATGCAGAAGATAAAACAGAAAAGAGAGAGACTAGAAATTGTGCATGCCTTTAATGTGGTGGTTGCAGTGTCAGTCAGCCCTCAAATATTCATTTGAGAGAAGACTGGTGAAAGTATGGATAGAATACAGAAAGTGAAAAAATTTAATTGAAGTTAAAATTAACCATTTTAAAATATACAATTCAGGGGCATTTAGTACATTTACAGTGCCATGTAAATGTACCATCACTTCTGTCCAGTTCCAAACATTTTTATCACCCAGAAGGAAACCCCACACCCATCATGCAGTTGGTCCCCCTTTTCCCGTCTCCTCAGCCTCTGGAAACCACTAACTTTGTTTCTGTCTCTACAGATTTACCTAGACTGGATATTTCCTATAAATAGAATCATACAATATGTCTGGCTCTTCCTTAGCCAGACATTTTCGAGATTCATTCATCTTATAGCATATATCAGTGAGAAAGAAAATTTCTAAAACTGCAAAATCAGAACAGCTGAACCTAACGCACATGGCATGCAATTAAGGGTGGGGAGCAAGAGAAGTAAGGACAATGGCCATCACATAAGCCTAAAGGTCAGTGGCAGCATTGACACAAATGGGAAAGACAGAAGAAGATGCCGTAGGGACAAGGGTGACAAGTCTGTTTCTAAACACACTAAGTTTGAAGTGCTAAGAGAAATCCATTTTGAAGAGATCACCAGGCAGCTGAAAATATAGTCTGCAACTTAAGAGAGAAGCCCCAGCAGCGGCTACAGAGGTGAAGAGGCAGGGACGTGAGCTTACTGTTCTCTGAGGTCGAAGGGTACATACACAGCTACAACTACTTCTGTCATTTAGACACACAAATGCACAAACTGTCCTTGCCTTTTTCAGAATGTGATGCATCCATTTACAAAACTTCAGAGATGAACAATAATGAGCCAGGCTCAGGAGAGAGAAATATTATCCTCACCCTAGAGTGAAACTCATGCTGTATTTTGTTCTTGCTTTCAGAAAAAAGAACCCATTCACGGAGATCACAGCTGGCATTTTCCAATAAATATCCCTACCACTTGTGAACCTTATCACTGGGTCCCATCATTCTCTGCTTCCAGCATGGTCTACCAGCGTCTAACTCTCCTCAGACTCCTGTCAGTTTTATGATTTGTTTAGAAGTTTGGTGTAAATATGTGGTCCCATCAGTCTGACTATAACTCTGGAAGTAAAATACTCATTGGTCCTCATTGAGCAAGCCCTGTCTGTGTAATTTTCACCCACAAAGGAAGGGAGGGGCTGACCTTCCACTTTCTCTCCTCACATTCAGGCCTGAGCCAACATCCCAGGACTCTGAGGACCCTGGCCTCATGTTTTTCTGGCTTTGAATGGTAAGAGCAACAGTAATCATCTCTTTCGCCAAAGCGCTATTATTTATGACCTGATACCGAGTCCTACACAAATCCATTTAAATCTATATGAAAGAATTTTCGTTTGCTTAAAATATGTGTATTTATTTTCTTATGTGCATGTAATTTATGTATTTATACAAAAACATACACACATATAAAATTTACAAAATATACTTCTAAGTTGTTTTCTATACCCTTGAGGTCAGGCTCAAACTGGAAATTTTGAGAAAAGAAAGCATTATGGCATACTTCCTGGTAAACTTAGACCAAAGGAAAAAGAGGGAAGTAAATTAGTAGGAACATAAATGCAGAGATAAGAGAGCTACAATCAGAGGAGAAATTCCTCCAGGCCTGGGGGTAAGTACGTGTGAAAGTTAAGGGGCAAGCGTTATTCAGGATGAAAAAATGTTCTCAGCAACTATCTCTTCCTCTGTCAAACTCAAAGAATCCCCTAGGCAAGCTGTGGTCACCACAGCTCCACATTCTCACCCTTCATTCACTCCCTCACCCAGCAATCCCCAATGATGCACATGTGCCAGGTACTCTTTCTTTTGGGTGCAGAGACCTCACAGTGAACTGGACAGACAAAACCCCTACCCTACAGAGCTCAGGTTCTAAAGGGGCATTAGTGAAGCGGGGTACTGATGAGAGACAAAGAAGTAAAACACACCAGCATTTTCAGATAAATGGTGACAATATACACATAATTTACCCAAATCAATGTGTCAGATGGAAAGGCAGATAGAGATAGCCAGGGTGGGGACAGGAACAACTCAGTGTGTGAGTACTAAGGAGAGGGTGGCTGACATGAAAAGTCAGTAGAGACCTGAAGATCAGAGAATGAGCTGCAAGCAGTGTGGGTCTCTGGAAAAAGAGAGGGTTGGGAGGGCAAGCTCAAGGTCAGCATGTAAAAAAAGGGAGTGAGGGAAGAATCACAGAGGTTGCAGCACTGGCTCCTTTGCTGTAATTTGTTTTGTCATCCTCATGCCAAAGTGAACTGTAAACACCTTGAACACCTGTGCTGCCATTCACCAGCATGCCCGCCGCCTAGTACAGGGCCTCAATTAAGTTGGGTAGATGGACGGTGGATGGATGGGGAATGACTGGGTCAATCAGGAAGCTTAGCAGAAGGAAAAGCAAACTACTAAGTGACGCTTTTAGCAGGTAATATACTGGTTAACCATCATCTGAGAGCCTTCACCAACAGTTCTTAATTTCATCAATATGCAGGCTATTTTCCAAGAAAATACTCAGCTTTAGTCTTATAATGGACGTCAACAATAAAACAGCATTTGCATTACTGTATACAAATGAATACAGATACAGATATACACATACGTGTTCATGTGTATTCATCTTCTAGACCACTTTGCTAGGACACATTCACTCCTTAAAATAATAATAAAAGACATATATATTTAAATCATATTGGCCGAAAATAAATATAGGTAGTATACACACATTGTGTATTTACACAGCTTTAACAGACAACCATAACATTTTCTAGCTCATTGGAAGAGAAGGCTCTCGAGAAAAAAAGCTACCACTTAATGCTGTATTCTAGTAATAATACACCTTATTTGGACACATAAAAAATTAATAGCCAGCCCATCTGAATGGAAATTATAAAAAATAGCTTTAGACCAGTGTACAATGAGCCTTTTCTGTAAAGGACCAGATAGCAAATATGTTAGGCTTTGCAAGCAACGTACAGCCTTTGTCACATAGTTTTCTTTGCTTTTTTAGGTTTATTCTGTGTGGTGGTAGTGGTGGTGGTGATTGTTTTACGATGCTATTAAAAATGTAAAAATCACTCTCAGTTCCCAGGCCATACAAACAAGCCTCAGTTTGCTGACTCCTGCTTTAAATCGCAGTAAGAATGGGACACTTAGATTCCCAAGTTCCTCACAATTAAATTAAAGGGAGAACTCCCCATACATCTCCAGATTACCTCTTTCAATCTCTCCAGCTCATTTTGAAGGGCCTGTTTGGATATTTCCACTTCAATCATCTTTTGTCGGAGAGTTTCATTTTCATCTTCGGCTTTAGAACGCTTTTCCTCCACAGTTTCAAGTTCATGGTGCAATCTAACAGATACATCTTTGGCTACCTGCAGAGATAGTCATCAGGATATGAAACTTTCTGTGTGCAAAGGCTACATTCAAATAACTTCCAAGGCAGACTAATTAAGTGATATGGTATTACACCAAAGAGCAAAGATGTTGGCAAAATTAACAAACTTATTTTTTGAAAAGGAGAATATTAGTTTAAAATGTGAAATCTACATTATGAGGGAGAATATGACTTTTATGTGAATTAAAAGGCCACTTTGGATGGCCCTACTTCCTTATAGAATATCACCAAGAATGTTAATTCTGCCCAGATGCACATGCTTTAAATAATAATTAGAAAAAAAATAATACATTTCTGTCCCCTGAGGTAATACTAAACCTACCTGCTTTAAAAAAAAAAAAAAAAATCTGTATGCAGTAGATGTTTAATGTAGTCAAGTTTTAAATTGTCTTCTGTGGTAAAATATTTGAATGTTAAAAGCAGTTAAACATTTTTATTTTCCTAAAGGAAATGAGAGATTTTTGCAACAGAAATATAAATCACCCTTCTATCACATGAAATCACGTTTTGTTAGTGGTTCACAAATTTGATAGAATTACAAAGGTTCCTTTCCTGTTATCATAATGAAAGGCTAAATGGGGTTTCATAAGTACTCCCATAGTAAGGAAGACGTTATATGCATAATTCATCTCTAGATGAATGATTTGATAATCAGGGCATAAGAGAAGCCATGCTACCCATGGAGAGAACAAATGGTTTCAAGTCTGGGATTGCTTCACTTCATTCCCACTTCTGCCAATGGTTCTCAAAGACACTTTTGACAATTAGTTTTGATCATATTTCTCCTTCCATTAAATCACCACTACACAAGTCTCACTTGGGTTATGGTAATTTCAGGTTTTCTGAATCCTAGAAACTTAAAAAACAATAAAAACGTTAAGTGATTATTATCAACTTTTAAGAGTAGTCTTTGACTATAGCTGAATTGATAACCAATAGATTTTTTTTACATACTTTAGCTCTTTAGAGGAGTTCTTTTACAATTTCTACACAAGTTTCAGACCAATTGCCAGGCATTAATTCTTTTTTATTGTAGAGCTATTACTATGATTTCTCTTTCCTTTCTTTTTTTTTTCAAATTTAAAGATTCTAGTTCATGACATATTTAAATCTTGGGCCATCAAAGCCACATGACAACACATACCCTATGAACCTTCATTCATCAAGTGAACAAAAATGTTCATGCTGAAATGTGTTGAAAGAGAGAAAGAAACACTAACAGAACACTAAGACCACGAGTAAGTGGGGTCTGATGCATGTCCCATCAGCCGCTCTCACTCACCTTTAAGTCTTGTTCCAGACTTCGGATAAGCTCACCATCCACTTGACCTGTCTCAGCCACTTTCAGGCTTTTCTGCTCGGCTTTCCTGAGGCGGTACTGCAGGATTCGGCAGTTTTTATTAGCACGGTCCAGTTCTCGCCGAAGTTCCTGCAGCTGGTAAACATCTTCCTCTAAATAACTGTCCCTCATCTCTTCCATTTCAGCACGAAGTTCATCCAACTCATCCTACACAAGCCAGACGGAGTAGATTTATAAGCCAAATATGTCAAAAAAGGATGGTGTCTCCCCTCCACCCCTGCTCTGGGACACTAAAAGTTAACTACCTGTGCACTTACTCATCGGCTTATGAACACAGAAACCTTTGGAAATTCTCACATGAGAGCATATCACCAAACTACTGTTAAAATCTTACGAATCCAGAAACTAAAATCCAGCCTGGATTATTCACTGTGACCTCTCAGCATTTATTCCACTCTCACTATTTCTTCACATACTCACATCCATAAATGAAATCAACTCTGCAGCTAATTAAACCTTTCAATTCAAACCAAAATTGCCCCTATCTCTAAGGAACAAGCCAGGTTCAAAGATGAGTCAGACATATCCTGCCTTCAAAGCACATGAACTTTAGTGGGATTATACCTGTGAACTGCCCTGGAATTATAACGTACCTGCCAATGTCCCTAAAATTCTGTTCCGCAGTATAAATTTCAGCATTGCCTAGGTGACTTACAATTCTAAAGATAAAACCTTTTGCATTATTTCAAATACACATTGGGTTTGCTTTTTTCCATTCACCTATTCTTAATTTCCCACCTCCATTTTACTTTGCTGTCAACATGAAGACACTCTAGATACAGCGAAAACCTAGGCATTGTCCCCGGCTCCCCTCTACCCCTCCCATTCCACAGTCAATCCAGTGCTGTCAGCTCGGCGTCACAATACCTGTGGGTGCTCTCTTCCCAAGGACCACAACGTCCACCCTCCCAAGGGGCAGCTGCGCAAACAGGTAAGTCCATCACATGGGATTCCCTACTTCCCCTCTCCCCGACTCCTCCTCCATAGACCATTCTCTGCCCAGACAGTTATCCTTTTAATGTGTAACTCAGACCTGTCCACCACCCCCATACTCAAACCCTCCAGCAGCTTCCCATCACACCAAGAAAAGTCCTCCCCATGGCCTCAGAGCTGCCCCTCCCCTTCCCTGGCCCACAGAAGAAAGGACTCCTTCGGCCTTTCACTTGTTATGCTGTCTTGTCAAAATGCTCCTCCCAGCACTTTAGGCGACTCCTGTCACATAATCTGAAGGACACACAATGCCTTCCCTGACCACCTTCCCTGCCAAACCCACTGTTTCTCTTGCTTTGCTCTCTTTTCTTCCTAGCTCTTATCACTGTCAATTTATCATCTGTCACCCACACTAAAAGGTAAGCTCCACAAGGGCAGACACCTTGAGTGTTTTGTTCCTCTGCATTCACAGCACCAAGTATGAGCCACACAGCAAGCCCTCATTAAATGTTTGTGGAATAAATACACAACACTGGTCAACATGTGGAAAGATCAAATCATAAAGATGACTGTATCTTTGCTTTGTTCCAGTCTTGTGGCCTAATTATGAAAAAATTTTCCCAAGCCCATAGGCATAGCTGCAATATGTGAGTTATGAATTCTACTGAAGTATTATAAAAGATTTTAACAAGGAACAATTTAGAAGGAAGAAGACTAAGGAAAGCATTCTAGGAATTTTCTAGATTCATTTGATGGTTTAAATGCCTCCAGAATAGGATACACTCAGTCATTCTCATTTGTTTTGTTCAATTAATACCAAGGCTCAAGAAAAAACTCCCCCAAACTTCACCTTAAATTGTCAGTTCTTGTCCTGCCATTTAGTTTGTTCCTGGATTCTCGCCACTCTTGCTAATCCTGCATTTGTTCTTAAAACTGGGGATATACTTATAATAAAGCACAAGAGTTTCCCAATATCAGAGCCTCAAGTAGACAAGAAATTGAACAGGAAGAAACCACATGAAGATAACATTAGGTACAAAAAATGTAACAAATAAATTGGGAATCCTTATGAAAAAATACAGATTGGCACAAACAAGGTGAAAACAGTTCTCCAGCCACCCTCAAGTGTATGCAGTGGTCTACTGGAAAGAGCAAAATGTGCCATCTCATTCCCCCAAACCCCGTCTGATTCTCCCCACTCTGCCCACACAACCCTAACGAAGAGAATGACCTTCTCAGGTGACTATGACTCTACATGGAGCCTGTTTCAATGGACTGCCAAGGAGAACGAATGTTAAAAAGAAAGCTTTACCAACTTCCTAGGAATCAAATGAACAGATTGTTTTTCTTCTCGGATTCTAGGTGATCTTACAGAATTTCTGTATGAGTAATGAAGATGTTTTAATGCGTCTCAAAGAAAGGTAAATCTTAACATTGACTATGTGAAGTATAAACAAGTTTCATTTCTTTTCTTTTTTCTTTCATGGAGATCTCTCCCTATAAATTCTGTTCTTAACAGAAAAATTCACTGGGACTGGTAGTTACTGAAATGAGCATAAAAGTCGATCAGTTGAATATACACGAACAGAATGTACTGGCTGGGCTCTTCAGGGAACTGGAGAACTCAGCCGTTTCATGGGAGTCTTTGTCGACTTCAACAAAGAAGAGGTGGTTGCTGATGCCAGACCCCCACACTAAGACTTGGGTGATGCCATGTGGGAGCTGTGCCCTGATCCAGCCCATGCTAGAGGAGACCAACTGCACATTATACGCTTTAAACTGGCCTTGTGGATGTCATTCTTTGGATAAAGAAGGTATTTTCAAAATCAAGGTCAAGTTTCACCCAGGTTCCATCCAGGACCATGATGGGTCCAACTTTGAGAAAGAGGCTAATCTCTACCCTTGTGCCTGAGTACAGTTAAAAGGTAATTGTGTCAGTCTATGGCCATACTACCCTGAACAAGCCCAACCCCGTCTGATCTGGGAAGCTAAGCAGGGTCGGGCCTGGTTAGTATTTGGATGGGAGACCACCTAGGAAGACCAGGTGCTTGTAGGCATAAAAAATAAAAAATAAAAAAATAAGGGATTGCAAGCTGACAAGGTCCTTGCAATCTGTAAGGTCAACCAAGGGTTGCCTCCCCTAAAATAAATAGATAAATAAAAATAATAATAAAATAATTTTTTTTAAAAAAAGGTAATTGTGTCATTTAATAACTCTGTATGGTGCCAGGCGGGAACTAGACTTTTGAGGGGATCACTTTGTAAATTACACAAATTTCTAACCACTAGGCTGTACAACTGAAACTAATATAAAATAATATTGGGTGTCAAAAAAATTCTTTTAATAAATAAATAAAACCATTTTGGAATAAAAAAAGGTAATTGTGTCATTAGACAACTAATAAAAAATAGTTCAATGCAAGCAATAATCACTATATGCATACATACAAATACACAGTGACTGTGGGCATTCAATGGTTCATGGAAGAAATTGTTTGATTTCTCTTCCATCTAGAAAGCTGTCCATAAAAGCCAAAGTCATTAATGCCTGGAATTACTTGTTACTCAAACCAAAGTCTTTAAAATGTGATACAGCCATAAGAAGATATAAAATGCAACTTCCAAGCATAAAAATGTTCTCTAGTTTTCAGATTATAACGGGAAGGCCCTCATCGACCCTAATGTTAGATGCTGGATATGTTATACGGATGTGTAAACAACAAACTGCAGGCTAAAAAACTGTTTAAGGGCTAGATGACCCCATACCGTCACATTATTAAATAGGTCAGATATAAACAGCTAATATTCTTTGGCATAAAAAATTATCAACATTAATTGCAGTGAGACAAAATTAGGGAGACCATGATTGCATGTATTTGAATCATTGCTTTTATAACTCATATTCTAACTAAATTTGTAGAACAGAAGACATCCTTTATTAAGCACTTTACCTTCATTACCAACCTTATAATAACTCTTCAGGAACACATTGACCCCATGTATAGACAAGGAAACCAAATCTACACTGGTTAACATGTCAAAAGTCCCAGCTAATCCATGGAAGCCAGACTGCGAACCCAGGCTGTCTGGTTGCAAACTCATGCTCTTTCCAGTAAATATTATAAATTATTTGCAACAACCTGGAAAAGGAAACAATAAGAGATCTTAAGTTGTACTTGTAAAAGCCCACGGTCAGTGTAAAATAATAAAAGCAGGCTAACATTTAGAGCTTGACAATTGTCAATGTGCAAGTATATCCATTATCACAATTGGGCCTCAGAAAAATATTGCACTGTGAGGCAAAGATATAAATACCCCCCTTTTTAAAATGAGGAAATTGAGATTCTAAAAGTTTAAATGTCTTCCCAACATTAGTCTTTTTCAGAGGTGGGACAAAACCAGTGTTTCAATTCTTTTCATAGAGCCTCGAAAAAAAGCAATTTTCAGGTTCAATGAAAAGAAGTTACCAAAAAAAGCAAATTATAAACCACGTAAGCTGGCAGCAGACGTTTGGAAAGCAAAAACTGTGATTATTCAGATTAGGGTTATGATGGATAGTGATTTTCAAACTAACATTATATTAATTTTCTGACAGCATGTTCTAATTTAGAAAACGTTACATTAAGAACTGTAAATATGTCTGCCATTTAAATGTTTAAGAAAACCAAATCAAGCAGAAAAGATATTTTTCTAATTTTGTATGTAAAATGAAATCTTGAAGTAGTATAAATCTCTTCAACTACTCCCCTTTGTAGATAACAAATTAAGCCTTATTTTATAATATCCCTCTTTGCTTGTAGATAACAAATATATACAAAATTAGAGGAATAATGAGGTACTATGTGTACATTACAGTAAACCAAGATTAAAATGAAACGTTTCAATAAAAATCTCTATGAGGATAGTCTTAGCCACAAATATAAAATAAAAACCAAATCCATGGTACCTTAGTATAAGTGACGAAAACTCTTGATCATACTGATAATTTTATTCAAGTCTTAATCTTCTATAAACAACCCCAAATCAATAACTGGTTCTATTTTAATAACCCCTCTTTAAACAGACCCATTTGGACAGTAGGAGGAGTCATTTGGTTACTGTTTGTAATAATTCCATCTTCTGGGAGTTGTAGATATAAACTATTGTCTGTTGTAATATACAAATAATCCACCTCATTTCCCTCTGGACAATGCAATTGTTCTCTGCGGAGTCTCAGCTATAGCTAAGAAGGCACAGGGGCTGCTACCATTGTTTGCCAAGTGACAACTCAGCTAGCAGCTGATGGACTGTTTTGCCCTGTTCTACATTATATCACCTAAGTTTATTACAGCCGCTCTTGCACGGGCTGAATAAAGAATGGATGTGGAAAGTGGAATATCGAGAAAGAATAGGAATACTGTCTACTTTAACCTATCCAAAAGGAAGGGAGGAGGAGCAGGGGTCAGAGGAGGGAAGGAAGAGCTGAAGTACGTCAAAATGGCTTGGTCTTGCCTCACATGTCCCCCCCCCTCCACCACCACCAACACCACCACCACCACCTGCCCTCTGGGCCACACTGAGGGCCTGGAATCCAGGCAACCAAATTTAACAAAACAGTTTCAGAGCTTGAAACTCAAGAGATGAACTTCAAGTGAGAAACAGGATGGTAAGGTTGGATTACTGGTGATGCACTGCGTCTTAGAAAACCAAAAAGACCTTTCCACTGATCTCCTTTAGTAAATCACTCCTCTCAAAGAATCCAGTGTTATCCCTTGTAGCTAGCACTGATTTCTTTTGTTTTAACCAAAAATAATTCTTCGGCCCTTCCCCACACCAAGCCTCACCCATCCTACAGGATATCAGCACTTCAGAGTACACTATTTGGAAGCAGGGGTGGGGGTATTGTGAGCACATCACCAGTAATGTGAAAAGCCTTTTTAAAATAGGCCAATAAACTCAAAGTCATTAAATCCTCCTGCAAAGCCTGTAGAAACAGAGAACATAATTAATATGTTCACAATGAGCACTAAGGCTTGTCTGATTGTTTCAGAGCATTCGAGCAAAACACAGTTGTGGCAGGCAGGAAACACACTAGTAACATTTTGTAGAAGTCCTCATCATTAAGAAATGTGCCTGGGTTTGGTTTGAGAAAGAAGTAAAGACCTTTTGGGTTCTCAACTGTTCACTTTAATTTCCGAATACTTCCAAATATGTTTGCATTCACCAAAGGTAAAGGGAAAACAAGAGCGCTTTTCTGACTATGTTCATGCAAAATGTCTGCTACCTGGATTGAGAAATTGTTGCATTTTTCCTTAGTGCCCTTTGAGGAAGGTAGAGGAGGAACAGAAAGCAGAGTCAGGGACGGCCCCATAAAGCACAACAGAAGGCATGTACTTCTCTGTTGACATTTACTATTTAAAAAAATAATAATACAGCAGTCTGGCTAAAAACCAAGAGAATTCCACTTGAATTTCCCAATCAATATGACATCCTTCTATGGTTTTGCAGGACTTATTTTTCTGCTTGATTACTCCTTGGTCATTCTAACTCAGAAAGTGTAACAGCCTTGTACAGTAATGATGACAAAACTGACACGGGAAAGAATGTAATGCTTAATGTGGTCACCATCCTCCAGAATATATCAAAGTAAAATTTCTGGGCTGAGTCTCCTCTTATTAGATAACATTTGAGCAGAGGGATGCTCTAACCAATCACCAGAGTTCTGGGCAACATTCTCTAAGAAAGCAGTAGGTCAAAGATGCACTTTTATCTACCAACCAGAAAAGCACCACTGAGCAAAAAGAGCAACAAAAAGAGAAGTTCTGACTTATAATGTGCACACTCTAAATGCCACGTGCAAAGGCATGCCTACTGTTTCTGCCCCATGAGGTCATCGATACTCCCCACCAGATTTTGCACAAGTGGATGGGCTTACTGACCTTTAGAAACTTCTACCAGGATTGTTGTGTTTCTTTCCCAAATTGAACTGTTGTAATTTAAGCTTTTGAATGTCCAAACATGTAACTCACGCATATATTTGTCATCATTCTTCTGGTCTACTTGCCTCCTTCAGACCTCCTCTACCCATTTCTCTCTCCTGCTGTCAGAGGAAAGGCTAGGAGGCGGACTCAGGCATAGTAAACAGTTGGCCATGACACCTGCTCCATAGGAAATGGCAACTGAACATTCCTTAGAAATTAAACGTTGCCAGTGGGACTTATATGACCATTTGTACACAGGCTAGTGGAGAGATGTTCATTATGGCCTTTTTGCCTAAAAGAAAATAGGTCTCCTATGAAAGCTAAATACTGGGAACATTCGAGGTAATCCGACAGCTCCAAAGCAAGCGGTGTGCTCTGAGAAAAGGAGCCTTGCTGGAAAGAGGATGCAGCCTGGTGCAGTGAAAACAGCAAAAGCTCTGGAGGCAGGGAAAGTGGAAGCTGCGCACTTACTAGCCGTATGGCCTTGGGCAAGTCATTTAAGTTTTCTGGGTCTCAGCATCTTTGTCTGTGAAATTGGGGTTATGATAAATGTAACATCATACCCTATGTTGTTGTGAAGATTCAGTGAAATATCAAATATACCAGATCAGACTCAAGGGTCAGACACCTATTTCATTCACTGAGAAACTAACTGTGAAAAGATAAAGCAAATAACCAGTTACCCATGGATGAACCCTGAAATGATGTCAGACCGTCTACCTTAAGATTAAAGATGTAGCAAGAAATATCTTCTTTATATATATATTTTCTTCCTTAGCAATCACAATTTGGATAAACATCACTTAGAAACAGTGTGGGTCAGGGATTATGCTAACAGTTGGGGTTACAAAACTGAACAAGATGATTTTTCTCACTCTCAGAATTTACAGTTGTAGATTTACCAAAATGTTGTTTTCTGTTAGAGTCCCACACAACAGTTGCCCTTTCTCTTCAACACCTTTGAATTTCACTTTGTTGTCTATTACATAACAGTAGGCGACGGAAGCAAATGTACTACTTGAAACATCTCACTCCAAGTTCCAAGCTACCCTCTTTTCTCAGTTTCTCCTTCCCTGCCTCACTGTTACCTCTTTGCACGAGATAAAATAACTGCTGGACTCAGTTGGTCAAAGCACCGTCTGATAAAAGGTTTAGGAAGACTCGGCAGTTAACTGATTTCAGTTTGAACTGCGCACTTCACTACCATCCACGATAAAAGCTCTCAACTTTGGTCCCACTAACCAGAAGCTGGGCCTCAGTCAGGTAGGTTCAGCATCTACAGAGAAAACAGTGCAAATCACATAACCTCCTGATAAAGGAGGGGCTCCCCAGTGGTTTGGGAGGATATACATTACCATCTCAACAGAAAAGTGAACAGATTTATATCACCGGAGCTATATACTAACCTGAGGTTTACAATAAATTAAAACCGTGGCCACCAATGTAATCTCCTTTATTTTCCCTCAGTTCACCTCCATTGTCTTGACTCCTCTAACATTGTCTAAACTCTCCGTTCTGCAGCGCCAGCCCTCCTCGGAGAAAAGATGGAGTCAGACTGAATGCCCCAAAGCTAACAAGACCAAGAAGCCACTGCTCTCAGGCCCTGTCGGAAAATGCTCCGAGATAGGGTGGCAGAGGTTGTGATTCCCTCGAAAGTTCTGGCGTGTGGATAGAATCAAGTGGCCTCTCCTGACTCCAGGGGAAAAAGAAAAAAAAAAAAAAAAAACCCTGCTCGTGGAAGCTTACCGATGCCTAAGAAGCAAAACACTGTTGTCTCTCAACCTAGGCCACACTCAAGGTTCCCCTGAACTTAAGGTTTACCACGGGAAACGGCAGGACCCCCTCTGCCTGTGCTATCCGAACCCCTAAGGGAGACACAAGGCGCCTGGCTTTCTGGAATTGCAGTAGAAGTAGCCGGCGCGTCGCCGCGATGGACCACCGCAAGCTCCGGAACCGACACGCCTGAGCTCCTTGGAGGAGGAAAATGCGCCCCCACAGGTGAGGGTGGGCACGTATATGGCGCGAGGAGTCTCTTTCGTATCCAAAAAGCGATTAGAACCGCCTCTCCCCCGGCACATAAACTGAGGCAAAGGCATCAGGGGAGAGATGCAAAACTTCTAGAAACAAGAAAATCTAAGTGGGTTGAGAACCTGCCCGGGCACACAGGTCTTGTTGCTCCTTCCAGAAGTTTTGGCTTAAGTTTCCAATGCCCAGCGAGTTCGGGGACAGAAAAGTGAAAGGCTCTAGTCGGAAAGCTCTAGTCAGGACCAGGAAGGCGGGGCTCACGGGTCCCTGCCCGCACCCAGACCCTCCGGGGTCGTATCCAGACACCTGCGGCAGAGCCGTTGTCTCACCTTGAGATAGTCGTTCTCCGAGCGCAGCTCCTCCATCTCCCTCAGCAGCTCCTCTTCCTCCACCGCTGGTATCAGCCGGGGCTGCTCGCCCAAGCCGGGCTCCTTGGGGATCCCAGGGACCGCTCTCTCTGGCGGCGCGCGCACGCCGGCATCCTCCGTGCCGCCGAGCCCCGGGGAGCCCGTGGAGACCCCACCCGGGCTGTTCCGACCCCCGAAGAAAGCTCCGGCGGCAGGGGGCGCGGCAAGTAGTGCAGCGGGCTCGGGGCTCCCTGGCGGCACTCCACGGGCTGCGGGGCTCTTCGCCGGGACTCCTCGTAGGGGTTCCCGATCGCTGGAGCCGGTGCCCGACTCCGCGTCGCTGCTGGCGGCAGGGAGCAGGCGCTGCTCATCCGATAGGGGTTCGGAGGGGCAGTCCGAGAGGTCCGAGCTGCTGTCCGTATGACTGATGCGCGATCCGGGGACAGGGGGGCTGGCCGTGGAGGTCACAGCAAGGATCACTGCGGGCACAGGAGCGGCGACGGTCGCGGGCCCAATGGCGCGGGCTGGGGGCACCCCAGGGCCGCGTTTGGCTTTGCGGCCCTTGGCG